AAAATTAATTATTATTATTATTATTTTTTGAACATTTTGACACGGATGGGTTCGAAACTCATCCAGGGGAGAATACACCTAACAAGCTGGCTAATGTCAGTGGGACTAGAGGTCCAGGTGCTTTTAAAAATTAATTATTAAATAATATAAAATTTATTTTTTAATATTTTAAATTAAGTAATATAAATTGCATTATTATTCTTTAATTTTAAACTCGAATTTTAGTCTTCTGTGCAATTTGGATGGAACTAGTGAGTGAAGCACTGGATGGAGGACTGTTTGGATCACATGCATCTGGTCAATTGGACTAGCACGAAATGAAAAAAATCCTTGAAGATGGTCAAATAGATGGTGAAAAATTATTTGAACTAGTACAACTGAGATCATTCCATTAGATTAAAGGGAAATTGGATAGATACTGCTTCAGTTTCTATGAACGGTCTCAAGAGCCAAGACTATGCATGAAGTCAACAAAAAGTAAACAGATGCTGCCTCAAAATCATGAGTAAGAGATGGTGGGGGCATTGGTTCAAAGGATTGTTCGTATGCATAATTAAAGATGGTTGTACATGGATTGCTTTGTATTTTTTATTATAAACTCGTACAGCTATTTCATCAGAGTAACTAGGTGGGTTGAATATTTTTATACTCATATTAATAAAATAATTATTTAAAAAAATTAAATTTTAATCCCATTTATCGACAAAATAGAGTTGGTGCATATATATAAAAGTTTGCGGATCGGAGAACCATTAATGAATTAAAGAACGCCTGCTTTCGTTAAAACCCCCAGATATGGTAGTCCCGTCTGAATTGGGTATCGATGACCGTATTTCCTCGTTGGCGTCGCCGCTTCTGCCTCCATCAGAACACCCTACATGGGAGGCGGCGGCGGCGGCACCCCGATCCGACGAGGAGAAACTCTGCATAGATGACATGTTGCAAAAGTACTGCGGCGAGTTCGGGTTTTGGCAGCTGAGGCATTTCGTCTTGACGAGCTTCGGTTGGGCGCTGGAAGCGTTCCACGCCATGGTCATGATCTTCGCCGACCGGGAACCGGATTGGAGGTGCGTGAATGGGTCGGGTTCTGGGTGCGATGACACAGCGAAGACCATGTGCGGGCTCCAACCCGGTTCTTGGGAATGGGTTAGTGGTCCAGGGAGCTCCACCGTGTCGCAGTGGGGGTTGGTCTGTTCAGAGAAGTACAAGATTGGCCTGGTTCAGGCCTTGTTTTTTGGTGGCTGTATGATAGGTAAGTCCTCCCCTGGTCTGGAGCCTTCTCTGTGTGTGTATTTTATTTTATTTTTTTAACTTTATTTATCTGTTCAATATTTTCATTTTAATTTATTTTATTTAGTAGCAAGTGGAGGGAATAATATAATTTATGGAGATAGCTATATTAGGACAAAGCAATGCAGAAAAATATAGTTTCTGTTTTGTTGGTTTGTTGGTTTGTTTGCTATTTGCAGAGAGTCAGTCTAAAATTTCCACACGTCTGTCCATTTTTGCATATATGAAAATAGAAAAGTTATGTCTCATCGATTTGGTTTTGAATCTTTTGATTTTCATCAAAGAGTTTGATTCATCTGTCCTTACTTTAAATAATATAAATTAATAATATAATAATCCACACATGGTATCATGAAAAGATGGTGCCGAGAACTGTTTCACCTAAAAATTGTGGGCTGCTCAGCTTGTAATCCATTGATATTTTCTTTTATCGCATGAGTCAAATCAAATGTTTCTAATACTGTGTCAAATACAGTTTGGCCCAAAAACTTGAGTTGTTTGACGAGGCTACAAAGATAGGTTTTTTATGTTAAGGACTCTCAAGATTTATTAACTTATGATTTTGCTTGCCACTCCAAAACCCTTTTAAATCTTGCACCTTTTGAAATGGTAGTAGTAGCAGCAGAATTGGACCATATAGGCTTCTACCATTTATGGCTTTAGTTTGACTCAGCTTTGAATGAAGAGATAGAGATCAGAGCTCAATTAGGAGTTCTTATCTGTTTTTTCCTTTGAAATGGGTTATTAAGAAATAACTGATTTATGATAATGTTCCTAGTAAAGCAAGGTCTCTGAAAGCTGAAAAGAGTATCATTGTTCGCAATATCAGGAGGGAAGGTACAGCAAACACGTTGCTTGTGAGGTTAGTGGCGATGATAAGCATCACTAAGGAAAGAAAAATAAGCATGCTTTAGCACACTGGTGGAGATATTATATGGGAGGTGTTTTCTTATTCCATGCTACTTGTCGTTGCCTGGTGTCACCTCTTTTGGTTTTGGTCTTTGTTGTGTATCTTAAACAAGATGTCACTAGAGTTGTTTAAATGTAAACACTTTTAAAACAGAACAAGATGACATTAATTATCAGGTGAAGGGTTTGTCTATGTTGTGTTCTAGGAGACTTCTTGGATTACATTTTGGTGGAAGATAAACATTACTGGTATCCCAATCTTTAGGTCTTTGCATTTAAAGAAATTGGATGTAGGGTTGTGTGGGTAATAAACAAACTTTTGTTTGCTTTAGAGATTTTAATTTTTGAAACATAGTAGAAATCAAAGGACCTTTTCCCTTGATTCTTAAAGGTAAAATCATGAAGATAAGATAAAGATAAAAATTGTGTTCAAGAAAATTGTGAAGATAATAGTATCTTATCTTGCTTTTATTGCCCCACAGCATGTTCTACATCCTCCCAGGAACCCAGACTAGCTTTGAACATGTGAAAGTTTGCTTCTTTTTTTTTTTCTTCCTTATCATGATCACCTTTGTATATTTTCTTTTGTCTAAACAACTTCTCTTTATGAACTTTCTACTTTCTCTTTAAAAAAGAATGTAGTACTTTATTGTGTGTACCTCCTTTTTTTGCTATCATTACCAAGGCATCAAGATTATGAGTACCCCATTACCCTCCTAAGTGGGCAACTAGATGTATAGTCATAATTGCTGAAGCATATATGCTCACGAGCTTCACGTTGGTAGTAGTAAATTATTCAATAGGTAAAAGCAACTCTTTTTGTTTTTGCTTTTAGTAGAAAAAACTATGACTCTTTAAGGCTTCAAATGAGATGTTTCCACCTTGGCTATTAGCAAACAAACTCTTTTTCAAAAAGTACAAATGTATAGCTTCAACATTGTCTTCTAGTTCTCCATGTAGAAATAGTTTTACAAAAAAACATAATTTGTTTTGCCTGTCTCCAACTTCTACCATAGAGAAGTTTTCTGCAAAGCAGGCCAAGGCCAACTGGGTAATTGGGGATTTCCAATTTTGGCACATGAGATGGATAAAAAGGATGCCATTAGGATAGAAACAAGAAAAGCATGGCGTATTACCTCGATTTCAAGACAAAAAATTAACCCTTCTTATGACATATTTAGTGTAAGAACTTCTTTATTTGTAAGAGTATCTAAGATCAAGAATAATTCACAATTTTCATGACAATTAAACTTTCAGGTGCAGGGATATTTGGTCATCTCTCAGACTCAAAACTGGGAAGAAAAGGTTCCTTAACAGTGGTCTGCATCTTAAACGCCATCTTTGGTTGTCTTACAGCATTTGCCCCAGACTACTTCACATATCTCCTACTTCGCCTCCTGACTGGCTTTAGCACAGGAGGAGTTGGCCTCTGTGCCTTTGTCCTTGCCACTGAACCCGTAGGCCCAACAAAGCGTGGAGCTGCTGGCATGTCCGCATTCTACTTCTTCTCGACAGGAATTGCTCTGCTATCAGGCATTGCCTACATTTTCCATTCATGGCGTGATCTTTACATTGCCTCCTCCATTCCATCCTTCCTTTTCCTTGTCCTTGTCATCCCTTTCATCTCCGAGTCCCCACGATGGTATCTCGTTCGTGGGAAAATGGACAGCGCCATGAAAATCATGCGTACCATTGCTAAGGTCAACGGACGTCACGTTCCCGACAGTGTTATCCTTGGCCTGGATGAGGAGGCAAATAACTCGTCCAATGACAACAATCAAACTTGCAAGGCGGAAACAGCGACAAAAGAAGCAATTACGGGTTCCATTGTAGACGTACTTCGCTCACCAATGACACGTATTCGTTTGTTTTTAGCTGTGGGGATAAATTTCTTGGGCTCTGTTGTCTACTATGGCATTAGCTTGAATGTTGTCAACCTCGAAACAAACCTCTACCTCAGTGTTCTCCTCAACGCAGTCGCTGAAATGCCAGCGTTCCCCATCACAGCAGTTCTGTTGGATAAGTTTGGAAGGAAACCCTTAGCAATTGGGACACAATGGTTCAGTGGAATCTTTTGTTTTGTGGGGTGCCTTGTGGGGAATGTCGGAGTTTGGAAGGTAGTAAGGATGGTTTGTGGGGTATTGGCGATATTTGGCATGGCCGGTACTTATAACTTGCTGTTTATCTACACAGCGGAGCTGTTTCCCACGGTGGTGAGAAACGCAGCCCTGGGATGTGCGACTCAGGCATCGCAAATGGGGGCTATATTGGCACCATTTGTGGTGGTTATAGGTGGTAGCCTTCCCTTTGCAGTGTTTGCGGTATGTGGGATTGTTGGAGGGATACTCGCTTATTACCTACCAGAGACGCTGAACCGGCCATTGTATGACACAATGACAGGTCTGGAAGAAGGGGAGAGTGTTAAAATAGGTATGTTGAAGTAATGCTGCAGTGATTTTTCTTTTCTTTTTGTATGAAAGACTGAATTTGAAGAAAATAGTAGAATAAATCCTCTCAACTCTCTCAATTCACGCCAAAGACATGATTCTTTCAATGAGATTGGAAAGCATGAAACAAATGACGCAGTGGATCATCTATTTTGATTAACTGCTATGCGATAATAAGGATTAAATTTTCTTGCTACATATTCTTTTTATGTACATAAAACACAAAGTCATATACACTTACGAACATATGAAGCATTAAAACATGAACGGCACAGGCGAGATTGATGGAATAATTGTTTGCACAGAATTTCGCCTGAAAATAAATCAGAAGAGTACTTAATTAATTTCTTTCAAAACATAGTTTTAGTCAGCAAAAATGCATATATCAAAGAAAAAAATCAACGAAAATGTGTGGTGAGATCATTGTATAAGTTAAAACATTCTCCTAATATTAAAGTTATTTTTTAACTCAGCTAATAATTTTTGTTTTATGATCAAGATCGAAGAAAACTCTTTAATTAATAAAAAATAATATGTTAAGGCAAATTTAAATTTTAGTTCTTAATTTATAACGAATTCCTTTTTTAAAAAAAATTTACTCAAAATAAATTTTCAAACAAAAGTATGCACCATGCACACCAACTTAGTATATAAAACAATAGTAAGAATTAGAGTATCACCGAGGACTCCATGGCCCAATGGGTAAGGCGTTATCTATGAAACCAGAGATTCTGGTTCGATCCCCAGTGAAGTCGAAACTCCTTTTTCGACTACTTCTTGGTTTTAATTTTAGGTGGAAAAATCATTAACACCCTACCGTAATTTTGTTTGTCCAAATACATAGGAGAAGTGTTGACCTTGCTTCATCCAATAATATCAAAGGTTTCAGTAAATTTTAAATGCTAAATTAATGATTCATATCGTTATAATTTTTGTTATCTTTTGATGACTCCATACCTATTTTACTTTAACAAAAGCTATTATGTAACTAATTAACGCAAAACTACGACTTATTCCCTCCTAATCTTTTGTCCTAATCAACCTACTCCTCTAGAAATCATGAACTCATTTTGACTGTTGAGCCAAAGTCGTAAACCTTGATTTTAAGTTAGCTTACGAGTGAAAACATAAACTTATAAAAAGGCTACTCGTCAAAATTATTTTTATGTTTAGTTTTCAGCGATTTTTCTGTTATATATATATATAAACCTTTATAAAAAAAAAAAGAGTTTATTTAACATGTACTTAAGAATATAATAAATATTTTTTTATAATTAATTTATATAAAAAAATTATAAAAAGTAACATATATTTTAATATTATTGATTATAAATGATTTTAATTAATTAATTGATTAATTAAATCAAAATCAACACTTATATTTTCAATAAAAATTAATTTAAAAATATATTTATTGCATATTTAAGCTATATTAAGACATAAAAAAAAAAAAACACTACTAAAAAAAATCAACACATGTTAAATAAAAAAGTTGGTATTTAATACTTATTTTATTTAACTAGTTTAAAGTCGTGAATAAAAGCACACTTGCCAAGTGCAAGCATAGGTTTTTCCCCTTTTTTTTTTTTTTATTAGAGGTGAAAGCATAGTTAATTAATGTTATTACGCTTTAATATTAAGGTAGAATTTCTATGTTTTTTTTATAAA